TACAGGCACGCGCCACCATGCCCAGCTAATTTTTTGCATTTTTAGTAGAGACGGGGTTTCACCATGTTGACCAGGATGGTCTCGATCTCTTGACCTCGTGATCCACCCGCCTCGGCCTCCCAAAGTGCTGGGATTACAGGCGTGAGCCACCGCGCCCGGCCTAAAGCAGGTTTTGAAAGAAATCTGAATCTGACTGAGAATCTGACTGTTGATTGTTTTCAAAGTTCCAAGTAGTCAAAAGGAATTTCTCAGTTTCTTCGGTATGGCTCATGCAAATAAAAACTGGTGGCTAAAACCTAAAGAACACAGTTTTAATCTCTGAAACACAGATGACTTCAGGCAGAAGCGCAACTGGGGAGGGAAAGGGAGGCAAGGGGAAAGGTTTCTCTACCATGATCACATTGTCCCAAAAAGCGTCCTTGTGTACAGTTTATAAGGCCACATGTTGACACAATGGTTGTAAGACCTTGATGAAAAGAGTTGGAGGAAGCCAGTGTGAAATACTCAAAGACATATCAGTGGTGAGGCCTTGAGGGATATAAAGAAAGCCAGCCAAGTTTGCCATCTCTTTTATCTGCTCTTGCCCACATCTGCCTAGATGTTACAGAGGAAGGAAATATTTGTGGAGAATATATTTATCTGAATGCACTCCATGAATAATGAGAATGTTGCATTAATGGAGGACATATATATTGGCTCTTTCAACATGAAGGACCTTGTATAGTCCTTTACTAAGCTTAAGGCTTGTCCAAACAAGATTAAACAAACACACACAAATAGCCTCCTCTCTCCTCTAGTAAACCCAAATAAATCCAATTAGCTTGGAATGATTCCTACAGTTTCTCTCACAGCTATTAGGATTTAGTCTGATCTCCTGGCAAAGCCAACCCAGCCCCGCATGAGCCCCCCACACTCTGCCTCCACCCTTCTCACTCCCTTACTCCCCGCTGACATCCCCCGACCCCTGCCACCATGTTAACTGTGAGGTCCTTAACATGCACACTCCCTCCTCAAACTTTCAAGCCTTTCTTTCTCCTGTTCCTTTTACCTCCATGTCTGTCTACCCTCACCTGTCCTTCCACATTTAATTCCAACATCACCTCCTCCTGAAGGCCTTCCTGGATTATCTCCTTGCTCATATCAGGACTGGTGCCTTGCCAGTCTGTGCTTATGCATGCTGTCCAGGCCTCCACCACAGGGTTCGACTGAATGGAAACCCTTTTTCTTTTCCTGTTTACTGTTTCTTTTTCTTGTTGTTGTTGAGAGGGAGTCTTGCTCTGTTGCCCAGGCTGGAGTGCAGTGGCACGATTTTGGCTCACTGCAACCTCCATCTCCCGGGTTCAAGCAATTATCCTGCCTCAGCCTTCCAAGTAGCTGAGATTACATACATGTGCCACCACACCTGGCTATTTTTTGTATTTTTAGTAGCGATAGGCTTTCACCATGTTGGTCAGGCTGGTCTTGAACTCCTGACCTCAGGTAATCTGCCCACCTCAGCCTCCCAAAGTGCTGGGATTATAGGCGTGAGCAGCTGCACCCAGGCTCCTGTTTACTGTTTCTTTTCTCATACTACAAAACCTGTCACATAGCAAGTGTTTAATGTACATTTGGTGAATGAATGGTTTAATCAGAGTTTGTTTCTAATCTTGTTTCCAGCCCACATTACCTTATTCACTTGTGTGCGAAAGTGGGTGAGGACAAATAAATCTTAAATCATTTGCTTGACTAAGAATGTTTTCCTGATAGCAAGTTGGCAACCTGAAAATTAGTGGGAAAAGTAACGATGGTTACTGAACAGACTGCCAACTTGGATTCTGATTATCTGCTGTGAATCATTTAACCTTCAAAAGCTTTTAAAATGATTTTTCTGGGTATAACAATAATGTGACTAACTACAAATAATGAAGATCATGTTTACTGTAGATGTGTGCAAAACATCCTTGTTTTGTCCCAAGTGCTACAATTGCAGCCCCTAAATTTATCTCCTTTCTCCACTCTACCCACTCCTAGCATACATGCAGGCACGCATGCTTGTGTGTGCATACACACACACCCCTAGACTAACCCTTACCAGATTTAGTCTTTAATAGAGTTCGATAAGACACATTTCACTACATTTCCAAAGTTATAATGGATCTTGGAAGGGAAAGCTATGAAAAACAGCGACAGAGAAACACTTATCACACAGCGATAGAGCTTCCTTTTGATCTCTTCGAACAATCCAAGGAAAAAAAAAAAAAACGAAAATCATCTAAGAATTCAAAACTGCTGGACTATTCCCACCGCACCGAGTCATGTGGACCTGTGTCAATTACACAATCAGTTCTGCAAGTCAGCTGGCAGACAGAAACGAGTTACTTCAGAAAGATCATCTCAGGGAGCTTATTCTATTCCCTTTTAAGTAATGAGTCTAGTGAACTCGAACGGGAGACTTGGAGTCCCTGATTTCTGCTGTCACTGGAAAGGAATTACTTTTGACAATTTTCTATGTAATTTATTGGAGAATGACAAAATTGGTTGAAAATATTATTAGCTGGAATCTTGGCCTGTTTTGATAAACCACAGATAAAAAGTTTTAAGGGTGGAATTGCAAGTCTAATTATACAACATTAAAAACAAAAGTCTCCATATTAAACATAATGTGTACATGTAAAATGAACATGAGGAACTGTTAGAACACTTACCTAAAGCAGTTCTGTGTTGCAGAAAAATGATGTTATAGATGTGGCATACATTTAACATAGAAACTCTTCCTACAAGTATAAGGAGAAAGAGAATCAAAGCAAGGAGACTTAAGACTCAGTCTTAGCTCCAGTTTGGACTTTGTGACCCTGGCCGAATCACTTCAATATGAACTTGATTTCCTACGTCTACAAAATAAAAGAGTTGGGCTACTGTTGCTGCTGTATTATTACTACTGATCTATTTGTGCTGGATTATTCTATATCCAGATAAAGGAGGCCAAGTGTTTTTGGTATCACCAACCACCATTTAAACAAATAGCACCCCCTCCATAGGGGAGGAGGCTGCATACATCTCCCGCTGTCCTCCACCTTGAGAATGTGGATGAATTCCAATCAGCAGCCACCAGCTGACTGATTTGCCCACAGCCCGCTCTGGGTCCATTGGCTGGGAGGCTTCTGGAGGCAGCTGGGTCATGTCACCCTGACCCAAACTGGTGATATGAAGCAACTGTCAGATGTGCGAGCAGGTGCATAATCCATCCTCAGGAGGGAGAATGGAGTGAGGGAACAGTGGTTTAACGGGTAACTCATTCAGGTTATTCGTTCTGTGTAAAACCCAAGGCCCTCCAACTGACACTTACCTACCTTCCCCGACTCTTTCTTCAGCTTTCTGGACACCTTCTCTGGGCCTCTATTGCCCTTCTTGCTAGTACAGCTGGCCCTTTGATGGCTTATATAGAAGATAAATTACCTAAATCATTCATTACCCCAACCCTTGTGCATAGATTTTCCTTGTTGCCAGAACCTGGATTTTGCTGAAGGGTGTCCCCAGCCCTACGTGATAAAGTGAAGAACTTCCAAGCTTCAGCCCCAAAGGAAAACCAATCGCTCAGCTCCACTGATAATTGGTCTAAGCCAATCACTGTGCTCCCATGGGTAATCAGTCTAAGCCAATCACTGCATTCCTTCTGCCAGTCTACTTACCAGTGTTTGTCTTAGGTATGGCCGTATACTGCAATTCTGGCTAGTGGGGAGTAAGTCAGTTAAGAGGCTTCTGGGAAAACTCACACTGCCCTGTCGGTATGAGATGCTTGGAATGATGCTGCCATCTTTCGAAAAAGAGAACGATCAGCTGACAGGCTGAGTGAGCCTGGCTGAGCCGAGAAATGAAGAGAATCACCTGGGGCCTGAGTGAGATTACTGGGCTGCTTTGTTAATCAACCCTGGATGCTCTCTACCTGTTGAATCCTTGTTTTGTGAAATTACAATTTTTTCTTACCGTTTGAGTCAGAAGCCCAAAGTATCTTGCTATTTCTCAGGCTAGCACACTGGAGAGGCCACAGGAAAGCCCCAAATGGGGTTAGTGGAGGAATCAGTTCCTCTACTTAGAATCCAGTACTGAGGAACAAATTACTTCAAAATTTAGTGGCTTAAAATAACAATAAGCATGTATTGTCTCTCAGTTTCTGTAGGTTGCAAATTTCGCATCAGCTCGAATGGGCAGCCTGGCTTAGATTCTCTCCTCTCATGAGATCGCAGATGGGTGTGGGCTGGGGCTGCCACAATCTGAAGGTTCAGCTGGGGCTGGTGGATCTGATTCCAAGGAGGCTCACTTGATTGGCTGGCCAGTGGGGGCTGACTGTGGTGGGAGGCCTCAGTTCCTCTCCATATGGGCTTTACCACATGGTACTTGAGTGTCCCCTGTTTTAAAATATATGTTTTACTGCATGTTCTCACTCATAAGTCAGTGTTGAACAATGAGAACACATGGACACAGGGAGGGGAACATCACACGCTGGGGCCTGTCAGGGGGTGGAGGGGGCAGGGGAGGAATAGCAGGGGGTTGGGGGGATTGGGGAGGGATAACATTAGGAGAAATATGTAATGTAGATGATGGGGAATGGATGCAGCAAACCACCGTGGCATGTGTATACCTATGTAACAAACCTGCACGCTCTGCCCATGTACCCCAGAACTTGAAGTATAATTAAAAAATAAAAATAAAAAAGAAATAAAAAAGAAAAAAGTACATTCCTATTATATTATACAATATACAATCAATTAGATATTAAAAACAAAACAAAAAAATAAAATAAAATATAGGTTTTGTTATTATCTAGGTGTGGCAAGGCCATCGGATCAGGAGTGACTACTAATAAAAAGATTGTTATGCTCACAGATCTCAAGAGGAAGGGGTGTGTCACACCATGGGGCCACATGGGGAAATGCCAAGGTCAGTCAGGAGGCAGAGAGGGAGCAGAGTGAAAACAGGGGCACAAACTTTGATTGTGGTTTCTGTGGGAAGGAACGAGTGAGGGTGGGTGATCGGGCTTAGGACTGAATAGTTTGAATCACTGCAGCATGCTCTGGGGCATACCAACTATCCCAAGTCATCTAGTTCCTACTCCTGGGGTGATTAGGGCAGGTGGACGGTGGCCTGGAGTGTGAGAGCCCAAGAAGTAGGTGGCGGTGTGTGGGTTCTGGATTGATTGTTTTACATTTGTAAAGCATCCTCATGGTTGTTTGCTATTTCTAAAAACTGGCTAGTCCTGGGAGGGGCATAAGAATAAAAAATGAAAGACATGGTAAATACATTCTCACAGCATGGTGCTGGCTTTGCCCAGAGTAAGCAATCCAAGAGAGCAAGGCAGATGCCGCAATGTCCTTTATGCTCTTCGATTCAGAAGTCACATATCATCTCTGCTGAACTCTAATTCAACATGGGGGGAGACTACGCAAAGACATAAATACCTAAGAGGTAAGGATCACTGGGGGCCATCTTGGAGGCTGGGTGCTGCACATCTGGCAAGTTCCTTAACCTCCAGGCGTCCGTTTCTTCACTTAAAAAAGGTGGCAATAACATTGTGTTACTCTGACTTCTAAGTTGAAGGCAAACACAAAATGCCTCTGGCTTGCTTAGGCAAAAGAGGAATTTATTGGATCAGTTTTGGACAATTCACACAATAGAAGTCTAGGAAGGCTATAGAATCAGGCTTAGCAGAACCTAAGGGAACTCAGGGAGCAGAGAAAGTCATGCAGGGCGAAGCCTCAGGACTGGCCAATTGGGAAACTGGTGTTGACATCAACTGCGCTGGCCACCAGATATTGTGGCCAGAGCTAAACCCTCAGCACCACGGCTTTTGAGCAACTCTCAGCCGCCTCGTGCCCTGAAGCTTCCACAGTGTGGGGACAGTGGGGAAAGGAAAATCAGGTCCCTTCTGCTTCTGGGATTACAGCAGACGTCTGCTACAAATACTGGCTTCATGGATTCACCAAAAATATATGAGCACCTTCTTTGGAAAATCGAGAGTGCTCAGTAATGGTTGGTTGCTTAATAGAAGGGAGAAAGCAGATACCTTGGGATGGAGTAGAGTGAGTTCGGAGATCTCAAGTTGAGAGAGTGAAGCATGCTCATAACCTTTCCAGCCACACTGAGCATTTCTAATCAACCCTTACCCTGCCTTTACTCATGCACATTTGCAAATTCTCAAATTGCTGAGACCTGTAGAAATCCTATCTATATAGTCTACTTGCCCTGTGAACCAAGTTGAAGGCAAGGAAACAGTATGTTATTATGAAAAGGTGAAGTGAAAGCTTCCTATGAAAACTGCAGTACTGGCCGGGTGCAGTGGCTCACTCCTATAATCCCAGCACTTTGGGAGGCCGAGGCAGGCAGATCACTTGAGGTCAGAAGTTCGAGACTCCTGTCTGGGCAACATGGTGAAACCCTGTCTCTACTAAAAATAAAAAAATTAGCCAGGTGTGGTAGCGTACACCTGTAATCCCAGCTATTCAGGAGGCTGAAGCAGGAGAATTGCTTGAGTCCAGGTGGCAAAGGTTGCAGTGAGCTGGGATCACACCACTGCACTTCAGCCTGGGCGACAGAGTTAGACTCCAGCGAAAAGAGAGGAGAGGAGAGGAAGGAAGCGTAGGGGAGGGGAGGGGAGAGGAGAGGGAAGGAGAGAATTGCAACACTGGACTCTTGGTACCTTGACATGAACCATGATTAACCACACTCTCTAAGTGGTGGCGGCTTCCATTTCTGTCACTGTACCTTTATAGTACTTCTTTCTCAGTTTGAATTGCCAAGGCAAAGCCAGACACCTTGTCTCGCAAAGCTTGTGCTCTGTTGTTAGCAGTGGGCATGAGTCTTGCTGTTCAAGCTCAACTATTTCATTCAAAGTGTTTTACCTTGCTTGTGTTTACAAATTCATTGAGGTTGAATGTGTAACTAAGTTCAGTGGTTCTAAAATGTTAGTATATAAGGAGCACCAGAAGGGTTTGCTAAAACACAAGTCACTGGGCCCCACCCCTGGAGTCTCAGGTTCGGCAGATCTAGGGTGAGGTCTGAGGATGTGCATTTCTAATACATTCCCAGGTGGTGCTGAGGCTGCTAGTCTGGGCGTCACATTGAGAACCACTGACTTGGGTGACTTGATGCTGTTGCTGGCCTGCTTTGTAAACTTCAGACCCTACACAGTAATTGTCTGTCTGTCTGCCTGTCTTTCTTTCTTTTTTTTTGAGACAGAGTTTCATTCTTGTTGCCCAGGCTGGAGTGTAATGGTGCCATATTGGCTCACTGCAACTTCCACCTTCCAGGTTCAAGTGATTCTCCTACCTCAGCCCCTGAAGTAGCTAGGATTACAGGCATGCACCACCACACCTGGCTAATTATTTTTTGTATTTTTAGTAGAGACAGGGCTTCACCACGTTGGCCAGGCTGGTCTTGAACTCCTGACCTCAAATGATCCACCCGCCTCAGTCTCCCAAAGTGCTGGGATTACAGGCGTGAGCCACCACACCTGGCCAGTAATTGCCATTAATAAAGAAAGCCAAGACAACATCTACAGAGCAAAATTATGTGATACTCAGGAATAAACATTAAAACATTATTTTTGTTAGAAAAATGTTTGGCTGCGTGGAGCAGAAACTTACCTATAAGAGCTTCAGCAAATAAAAGTTTGTTCTTCTCACATTCACAAGAAGACTAGAAACTGTCCTACGCAGGTGAAATGACTTTACCTCATCAGGGGTCAAGGTTCTTACTAACTTTCTCTTATGTCATCCTTGGTAAACGACCCTTGTTCTCACGGTCACAAGATGGCTGTTGTATCTCCATGTATTGCCTCTGCACTCTAGGCAGGAAAATGAATGACGAAGAAGAAATGCCTGTGTAAGCTTTTCTGAAAGCCCCTCTATAGATTTCTGTTCCCATCTCATTGGTAAGAACCATGTCACGTGGCCACACCTCACTTAAAGGCAGCCTCAGCACTCACTGACCCATATAAAATGGGGTTCTGATGATGAAGAAGGAAGAATGGGTGGTAACCAGCAGACTCTGGGATGCATTCACCGGCTTGACTCCCAAAGGGTCACATCACGTACTTAGGCCAGAGCCACCTACAGTGCTAAACCAGCCACACAACAAGTGAAAGCGACAAAGAAAAGACACGAAGCCACTTCTGTACTAGCATTTCTTGCCTCCTGTTAATGGGTGTTCTATGAAATGGGAAAACTCTGATGTAGAACTTCTTTACTATAGACTTCTGAGTTTTTAAGCTTTTGTATGTGATGACATTCCAAGGCAAGAATAAACATGCTGCATTTTCCAAGCTTATTTGACCACAGAAGCTTTTTAAAAATTTTCTGAAGCTCCCTGAACTACATTCCATGGACATTTTTGCCACGAAAACTTGATATAGACAGTGTCAACTATCAGTGTGTTTTCTAAGACTCCTTATGAGAAAAAAAGCCAAATACGTTCTGCTTAAACCAGTGAGATAGTTCTACTTTTGTTAAGGGGAAGGAAATGCAAATAGGACCAGTTTGTGAGTCAGGGCATGGGGTGTGGTGCCAGTCTGCCATCTGAGAACCATGCAACCTTGACAGGCCTGGTGGCTTCTCTAGCGTCTCCTGTTCTTTTTTTTTTTTTTTTTTTTTTTTTTGAGACAAGAGTCTTGCTCTGTGGCCCAGGCTGGAGTGCAGTTGTGCGATTTCAGCTCACTGCAACCTTCGCCTCCAGGGTTCAAATGATTCTCTTGTCTCAGCCTCCAGACTAGATGGGATTACAGGTGCATACCACAATACCTGGCTAAATTTTGTATTTTTAGTAGATTGGCCAGGCTGGTCTTGAACTCCTGACCTCTGGTGATCTGCATGCCTTGGCCTCCTAAAGTGGTGGGATTACATGCGTGAGCCACTGCGCCTGACCAGAGTCTCCTGTTCTTACCTGCAAAACAACATCTGTAGGTGAGCACCACGATGCATCCCAACAAACCAAAATTCTGCAGCTTCACAGCTCCTAGAAGATGAAGAAGGGATGTCTGAATAAATCTTTGGTAATGGGAGACAGAGGATACATGCACTCCTGTTGGGCAGCAGAGTGAAACTCCATCTCAAAAAAAAAAAAAAATTAAAAGTCTTTTAGAAGTCAAGAATAGTTTTGGGAGGAAAAATACCTTAACGGAGGATTAAAGCTGTGAGAATGCATTGGTTTTCTATTGCTGCTCTAATAAGTGACCACAAACTGGGTGGCTTAAAAAAACTACGACAAATTTATCATTGTACAGTTCTGGAGGTCTGAAGTCCAACATGGTCTCACTGGTGTCAAACCAAGCTGGCAGCAAGGCTGTATTCTTTTCTGGAGGCTGTAGGGAAGAATCCATTCTCTTCCCTTATCCAGTTTCTAGAGGCTGTCCACGTTCTTTGGCTCATGGCTCCTTCTCCCCATCTTCAAAGCCCTCAACATTGCATCTCCGACAAAGCTTCCATGGTCACAGCTACCTCTCTGACCACAGCTGGGAACAGTTCTCTCTCTCTCTCTTTTTTTTTTTTGAGATGGAGTTTTGCTTTTGTTGCCCAGGCTAGAGTGCAATGTGCAATGGCATGATCTTGGTTCACTGCAACCTCTGCCTCCCAGGTTCAAGCAATTCTCCTGCCTCAGGCTCCTGAGTAGCTGGAATTACAGGCATGAGCCACCATGCCTGGCTAATTTTTGTATTTTCAGTAGAGATGGGGTTTCACCATGTTGGCCAGGCTGGTCTCGAACCCCTGACCTCAGGTGATCTGCCCGTCTCAGCCTCCCAAAGTGCTGGGATTACAGGTGCGAGCCACTGTACCTGGCCTGGTTCTCTCCTTTTAAGGGCTCATGCATTAGATTGAGCTCACCCAGGTAATTCAGGATAATCCCCCCAACTCATCACACCTGCAAAGTCCCCTTTGCCATATGAGGTAGCATATCTACAAGTTCTAGGATTAGGACATGGACATCTTGGACTCCTGGTATTCTGCCTACCATGCAGATGAAATCTATTGTTTAAAGAAGTATAGACAGTGTGGAGAAACTAAAGACTAAAACAACAAATTCAAATTAGGCTTAATAGTATGTGAGGTGAGCAGCACAAAGAGGTAGAGAAGGTTGATGTAAGAAAAGGAAAAACCCCAAGAAATGAGATAAATTACAACAGAAGCAAAAGTTGGACAACACTAGTTAAAAGCTGGAAACACGTGAATCCTTTAAGAGCCAGAGCAAAGGGCAAAGGTTTAGTATGAAATTGTTGGAGTTTCTATTATATACTGTACCTTCACCAATAGAACTAAAAGTCTAAAATCACACTTTTTTTTTTGAGATGGAGTTTTGCTTGTCATCCAGGCTGCAATGGCATGATCTTGGCTCACCGCAACCTCCACCTGCCCGGTCCAAGCAATTCTCCTGCCTCAGCCTCCTGAGTAGCTGGGATTACAGGCACGTGCCACCACGCTAATTTTGGGTGTATTTTTAATAGAGACAGAGTTTCTCCATGTTGGTTAGGCAGGTCTCAAACTCTTGACCTCAGGTGATCTGCCCACCTCAGCCTCCCAAAGTGTTGGGATTATAGGCGTGAGCCACCATGCCTGGCTAAAATCACACTATTTAAAAACCAAGAATGTATCAGCATTAACCAGATTGATCCTACAGGCCTTGCTTGACTTTCAGGTGTGGAGGTGGTAGGAAGAGCCACAGAATGGCCTGAAATAATTGCAGAGCTCCAGTGTTTGAAGAATGTATAGGAAACTGGTGAGGTGAGGGCAGCCTTGCCTTTGCTTAGTGGCTTCAAGATGTGGAACAAAAAGGAACGTGACATCTACATCTAGGTGAGAATTAGGCTCGGGACAAAGGGTGGTGAAGTATTAGTCCAAGGGTCAAGAAAATAGTAAGAATCACTATACAAGTAAATGGATCCAGGCGGGGGGGTGCAATGAGGATTTCTCAGTCCTGGTCCCATTGACACTGTGAACCACATAATTTTTTGTTTTATGGGTGTGTCCCATGCATTGTAGATAGGTTAACAGCATCCCTGGACTCCACGCATCTGATGCAGTAGCACCCCTTTCCCAGGACGTGACAACAAAAAAAAGTCTCCAGGCCTTGTCAAATGTCCCTGGGGACAAAAATCACCCCAGTTGGGAACCACTGGTGTAGACTGAAAGAATAGGCGAGGGGGTACAACACCCCAAAAGGGGGAGCCTGCAAGCCTAGAGAGTCTTTGAGGCTGCAAGTACACAAAAACCATGGGAACTTTGTAAGGGGTCTTTTGCTGGAGCTGGAGGACTGGCAGGGAACCACCAAGAGCATACAGCTGATTTGCATACTGGTCTGTAACTTGGTCGGGGCTCCAGGTCAGAAGAGCTCAAGTCTAATTGGTTCAGGGGTCGCACTCTGGTTGTTTTCCATTTGTTATGCAAGCACAAGTTTCAAAAGGCAGTCCACCTGGGCAGGCGATATGCTTGCTTGCAATACAAACAGCTCAGAACCTATTATCTTACATGGTTTTTCACTTCATTTAGGTTCACGGTCTGTCCTCCTGACCCCTGATTCGTAGAAGAGGGAGGAAACGAGGATGATGGAGAGACTTGGATGCAAGCAGGGCCACCTCCAGTTTTTACAAGTGCCTTTACGAGAATTAGAAAAGGTGCTTCTCTGGCTGGATGAATTAGGAAAGAATGTCCCCTCAGGGAGGATCAGGAGTGAGGCTAGGCTAGGAAAGTGGATGGCACCTTATCTCCAGTCCTAGCTGGGAGCACAGAGCTGCATGTCAGCACCCCCACAGTGAGTACCTGCAGAGTTCCCGTGTGGGCAAGCCTCCACCATGCACACTGCATCTTACATAGCCTGTGAGGCAGAGGCTTACTCATGTAAACCTTGGGAGGCAGACATGACAAATGGGGCCCCCGAGCTCTGAGAGGTACTAAACTTTCTCACCAGCAGGATTAGAGTTTTAGTACAAGACATGCATGGTTAGAAACAAAGGCAACTGATTCTGTAGGAATGAGTGTAAGTGGTTTAAGAATAAGAATATTCTAAAGGGCCAGGCGCAGTGGCTCACACCTGTAATCCTAGCACTTTGGGAGGCCAAGGCAGGTGGATCACAAGGTCAGGAGATTGAAACTATTCTGGTCAACATGGTGAAACCCCATCTCTACTAAAGGTACAAAAATTAGCTGGGCGTGGTGGTGCGTGCCTGTAGTCCCAGCTATTTGGGAGGCTGAGGCAGGAGAATCGCTTTAACTAGGGGGTTGGAGTTTGCAGTGAGCCGAGATCATGCCACTGCACTTCAGCCTGGCAAGAGAGCAAGACTCCGTCTCAAAAAATAAAGAATATTCTAAAGGAGAAGAAAGCAAAATGGACATCTAGGAGAGACTGTGGCTGGTTGCTTCTGTGCATCTGGCCTGATGAGCCTATTCATTCATACATTTAGGACCTAGGTGATAAACAAGAGCACTGCACTTTTGCAAGTGAGGGCAGACCTCTAAAATTTCTTCCAAGGTTCAAACACTAATGGCCCACGGCTGTTAAATGCATCTAGTTCAGAACATGTGTTCTATAAAGTAAATCTAGTTCAGGACAGATGTTCTATAAAGTAAATAAAGTGTAAATTCCTATGCGCTGGATGTTGCAGAAAAATCTTCCTCTGATAACCTTGAGAGACTAGACATGTTAACCCGCTTTTTACATAGGTAAGGAAGGTCTCATGCAGCCAAAGAACAAAGAAAGATTCTAAGTCAAGAAAATGCTCATTAAGTGCAGATGTGTCTATATGTTACAGATGGAGACCTTGAATCATAGGGTCAGACTAACCCTAACGTTGCAGAGTCACAGAGGGCAAGAGTATGAATGGAGGCCTACACATCAAACGTCTAATTTTGTTTCTTTTGAGACAGGGTCTTGCTCTGTAGCCTAGGCTGGAGTGCAGTGGTGAGATCATGGCTCACTCCAGCCTCGACCTCCTGGGTTCAAACAATCCTCTCACCTCAGCCTCCCAAAATGCTGAGATATTACAGGTATTAGCCACTGCACCCAGCAAATGTCTAATATTTAAATAAACTTCCTTCCATGCTTGTACCTTGGCAAATATACTTTCATAGCAAAAAAAAAAAAAATGTGGGGGAAGTGAAATTTATGGTTTTTATATGACTGAAAGTTGGCAAAAACAAGAAGAAAATAGCTGGACTTCATTATTACACACCTGTAGGTGTTCTGTTAATGGGCTGACATGTTTGAATGAATAATAAAGACATATACAATTCATGCATTATAAATTTATCCATAAAATTAATGTTTCTTGCTTTCATTTCAGGAAAATTACAATTATGTTGTTATACTCAATATTTTCACATAATTTGTGTTCTATTGACAGTAATATCTAATTAGATTACCTTTCTTGAATCTTAGTTTTTCTTTCCAGTTTTTCAAATTTCCATTTAGAGAAACTGCTCTGCAGAGGCAGTAGCAATTGCAATTGTCATTAAAATTCTTAAAGCAACCCCTCAATTTGGAAATGAATCATGAATTTTATGTCAATCATTATAATTGGATTGCATATGGTATATTGCCATTATCACAGGGACTATCACAAAATAGTTTAATTTCATCCCATAAATTGCTATCATTTATATAACGATTTTCAAGATTTCTTATAATATCTTAAAAATCTCTACCTAGTTTTGTGCTACCATGTTTCATGCTTACATGTGCAAACTACATATATACACCTTTAAGACTAACATAAGCTGTTATGAATATTGTGTTAATTCATGAGTAATTTCAGAATCTTACATTGGAACATGAAGGGAAACAAGACTCTTGCATTCAGGCTAAGAGGAAGATTTTGGAGAGCTAATTGTCTTTCCTCTTACCAAGGAGCTCCCATTACCCCAACCCTCCTCGCTCCCCAAGGCAGTATCTGTGTCTGATGTCAGCAGAAGTAACAACCTACTAACCTTCACAGCTTTGAATGTCGTCACCTTTTGTTTGGAGAACACAGGGCAAAAGATGAAGAGGTCCCCAGGCATCTAAATATGTTAGTCATGAGTGCTGTTCAGGGTTACAAGTTGCACTGAGCCAATGGTGGATGTGAAGTGACAGAGGACCTTCTAAAGTGTGGGCCCAGGACCCCTCTACCCCAGTCCTTTAAGGCCAATGCTGCACTCCTTGCTAAATCACCATACAAATATTACTGTAGTGGGTTGAATGGTGTCTTCCATTAGAATGTTCACATTCGAATCCCTGGAACTTATAAATACAACCTTTTTTGGAAAAAGAGCCTTTGCAGATGTGTTAAATTGGGAATCTTGAGATAAGCTCATGCTGGATTATCTGCGTGGGCCCTGACTTCAATGACAAGTGCTTTTATAAGAGACAGACAAGAGGAGAAGGGTAGGGGCAGACAGTGGAGTGACGCAGGCACAGGCCAAGAGTGACAGCCAAGTTATGACATCATCAGAAGCTAGAGGAGGCAAGAAGGCATTCATAGCCTTCAGAGCGAACAGATCCTGCCAAGAGCTTGATGTTGGATTTCTGGCCTCTGGCACTGTGAGATCATA